CGGATGCCTCGATATTGCCTGATTAATTTGTAATTTGGTTGCCAATAGAGATCGAACAATTCGATCCAATAAAAGCAACGGAGAATTACAAGTGTATCAATAAATAGTAATAACTTATAAGTACCGTTGCAAATCTTTAGAACGAATGGGTAAGTCGATGACATTTTGATCATATGCTATGAAGAATTTGATTTCAACAACAACCTGCGCAACATTCTAGGTACTGGACATTCATGTATGAAATTCACTCTAGGATGTGAAATGAATTCCATGTTTTCTTTCCTGTATGGGTTACTAACAAGAAGATCGGATATCCTTAGATAAGTAAATAGAAAACGAACACAGACTAAACAGTGTATCAACTTTCAAAGTTATGTCCTCATTAGCAACAAAACCTTGTACGTTAATTATGTTCAAGGATTCTGAAAATCTCCCCTCTTGTATCCTAGTAGAAAACGGTTATCCATCTAGAATCGGTAACTATAACATGAAAGAGAAGCCATAAATCGTTGAATAGTAGACTTTATTTACTCCTATATCTTTTTCACCTGACTACACAGAGGTTGACCTAATCGCAGGAGAATTTTCGTTAGACCTAGAATATCCAGATGACATAGTCCTGTTAGGTGAAGAGGCCGACAAGATGCAGAGTCTTCCGAACACTTTGAGTGGCAATTTAAGAATGTTTGGGATGCGTTTCTCACCACCCAAATGCAAATTGCTGCTCCACGATTGGTCTTCAACGATGTCCCACCACGGCTAACAATGGAGAGTGAAGTGGTTGAGTGTGTCGACCACTTCACTTATATGAGAAGTAGGATCAGCCCTATCCTGGTGGCTCAGTGGCCGATGAAATCTCTGCAGGAATAGAAAAGGCTCAACTGGCTTTCGCCAACTTACGCCACCTGTGGCGCCGCCGTGACATCCGAGTGTCTACTAAGGGTAACGTGTACTGCACAGCAGTCCACTCTCTTCTACTCTATGGCTGTGAAACATGGTGATTGAAGGTGGAAGACATGAGAAGGCTGGCTTCAGGTGTTTGACCACCGTTGCCTTCGTAGTATAGGCCACCGTATTCCGTGGTGTCACCACGTGAGTAACGCAGACATCAGGTGTAGGGTTTTAGGGAGAAGAGGTAAGTGAGTTGATGTGGTTGTGAACCTTCATGGATTGAGATGGCTGGTTGGTGTATGTGTTACGTATGTCCAGTTGCCATCTACCTCGTCACACAATGTTGGCCGAAGTGGGTTCAGGCTGGTAAAAGGCCCAAGGTGGTCAGACTAAAACATGGCATGAATGTTGGTTTGAACCATGTGGGGTGATGCAGACTAGGTGGTTGGGGTCCGTTTGACAAGAGGAACCAGTTGTTGGAGACTATTCTAGGTGATGTGGCTGAGAGTTGATGGCAGTGGTGCAAATGTATACACATATCATCCTCATCTTAACTACGCTATACCGAATCTCACCATTTTCTCATTCTTCCTTTCTCTATTTAAATATTTCGTGTTTCTTTGATTGAGTTTCCTTTTTTTTTCATCCTTCACTTCACTGCTTTTTTGCTTGATGTGGTGATCTGAGGTGTGGCAAGTTGGACCATTTATGCAGTAATGCCTGGTCGTATGTTGATTCGAATGGATAGATGGCCAAATCTTTGTTCAGTAGCTTAATCATAAAACGAGTAAGAGTCAATATACTTCTAGGTTAAGAGATTCACATCCACCAAAGAATAGTGAGAAAGCTTTGGGCTCGGTGTCTTAGAACACCATATGATTAACAACTCAGGTTGTTTATCAAAATATGGTGGTGATTCGAAAGTTATATTTCAAGTTGGTATTCATCGTAGACTGACATCAGTTGGAGGAACATTGGAAACCTGAACAGCTGTTTTGTCCTAGTATAGGATTCTTCAGCAGTTCGCACCCACGCCCCCTCCAGGGATCGAAACTCAGGGCTTTCAGGTTCCGTGGCCAGCACGTTACCATTGAGCTACTCGGTGGGAACACGATGGTCCATATTCCCAACTTCTTTCAGTTCACGATATAACGCGACTACCACCCAATGTCATCAGTGAGTAGTTGTCCTCATGGTCACCAGGTTTGCCCCACGGGTCACTGGTTGTCGTCATTGGAACTTTAGGAATCACCTCTCGAAGCTAGTCACCAATGAGAGCTAGTTCAATTGAATTTGGAGGTTCATGGGGATTTATAGATTTTTTCAAGTTGGTATTCATCGTAGACTGACATCGGCTGTTGTTTTGAATTGACGATGAGCACATGAAATCAGTTGAATAAGATATATTTAGGTTCTCAAAAAAAGGGAGATTGTAATGATAAAAGCAGAAACGGTGGGGTAACTAAACTCCAAATTTTTCGTTCGACTAATTAACACAACGACTGGTTGCCGTTCCGAGCCCTAGTGACAACAACATCGCTTACTGAGAGGCAAATACATCCAGCTGACGAATCCCAAATAAGACGAAACACATCCTGGATCCCACTGGTAGCTACTGGCCATGAGTTATAACTATTCAGAGTATTTTTTGAACATTGTCTGAAATGAATCTTGCAGATTGTAGTGAACATCATTTATTCTATTGTTTGATTACTTTTAAGCTAAATTTTCCCTTGTATCAAGCAGGGAATGAATTTGGCAGTGAAGTTGACGATACTCTTTGGTTCTTCAAAGTAACTGGCGACCTATCCTGTGTTCCGATTGTGTACCTATTTATCCTTAAAAGTGTAATTTCATCTGATTCCATATTAGATTTGTTTATTTGATTTATAACACACAGTGATGTAATATTATTTACTTGATGACGTTTCGAGCATAAATTACTATTGCTCATAATCATATCAATATAATCACACACTACTTTTGACATTTCATTTTTATAGTTATGTCACTTTATATGAGTTGTTTTCATTAGTAGGAAAATTTTCCATATCTCTGGTATAGGTGTTGCATCATTTCTATCACATATGTTGGGTGTTGATTCAATGAACAAAGATTATTCAGTTATCAATCTCTCTCTCCACCTAATTATATTGAACTCAATTAAGTTCAATAGTTTTATCTCATCCTATTGTGTGGTTGTGTGTTAATGTTTGCATTGCAATAGCCGAGTTTTTCCCTAGATTATTGATTATATTAGGGTCTGTCACTCTATATTAAGCTAAATTCGTATATTCCGCTATTCTAACTGACTCCGACCGCCTAGTTTCACCTGCCTCCTCTCTGATTGGTCGACATCCCTAAGTTTATGAGATTCTCCTACTTTGGGGATTTTTATGCTGATTTCCATACTGGTCTTTTGTTCCCCTTGAATTTTCAGTTGCACTTGGTATTTGAATTCATATTACACATTATCATAGACTCATAAGTTGCCTAACACCATTCACTTAGTCGAATATTTTTGCACAGTGTCAGAGTTTTGTCAACAGGTGGTAGAACTGCTGGTTCGGCTATTTTGTATAATCTTGAAAGGATTTGTCGCGATGCGATGTCATGCAGGCGATTTATCACTTAGTGATATTTCAAATCACATCTAAATTAGTTGGAATTGATATGAGTTAATTTATCAAACTACATTATGAACGGGGTTATTGTACATTACTTTAATAGGCAATGAAATGACTGAACGCGTTAGCCGCTCCTCACTTTGGAAACCGATTAGCCTTCATGGGGTTTATTGCAGATGAAATCTCTGCATGGATGCGCAAAGCTTGCTTGGCGCTCACTAACTTATAACTCTGTGATATCCGACTGCATGTTTAGGGTTAAGTGTATTCCTCTGTAGTTCACTTATTTCTACCACACGACTGTTGAAATGAACATGGCCGTTAAAGGCAGAAGGCCTGAGTCAGTTTAGGTGTTTCATCGTTGCTGGTTCCGTAGCATAGACCATGTGTCGTGCCGTGACCACACCAGGAATATAGAGGTCAAATGTAGAGTTTTAGAGAGAAGTAGGAAGGTCGTTTGATGAGGTAAACTTTTATTGACTCAGTTGACTGGAATATGTATTACACGCTCCCAGTGAGCGTCTGTTTCATCTCGATATTAGTCAAACAAAGTAGGTTCGGTATGGCAAAAAGTTAGAGGTGGCTGAGCTAAAATATAGCATAAGCCCACTAAGTATCTAACTGTTCGGTTGACTTGTGTAAGGAAATGTAGACTTCCTAATAGGGGACCGGTTGACAATTGGAGACTAGGTAATGTGGTTAAGAGTCACTCTCAATGACCCATATACGTCCATACACTACCTTCATTTTACTCATCATCCCAAATTTCATTATTTTTCCATTCTTTCTTGTTCCCGTTTCACGACTTCCCACCACTTTTGACTACTTCCCCTCCTCTATTCCTCTGGCTTCTGTACCCTTGGCGTCTTCTTTAATATGGTGATGTGAGGTATGGGATAACATGGGTCCGTTGTGCAATAATTCCAGGTCCCACGCTGAGATGCTAACCAACGGACATTGAAATGCGAATTACATGAGAATAATTCAATTTTAAGGCATCTGTCGTCCAAGCAAGTGTCAGGTGTTTTCACGTCGTCATAAAATGTTCATTAAAACTAGTAAGTGTCTTTTTACCATTCACTACACGTCAATGAAGTTTGATCTCGGTATTCCTTCACATTTCTTGTTGGATTCGCCTCATTTACCACCGAATAGTATGGTAGGAAATTTTTCATGACATGATTTGAAATGACTAGTATGCCATTGATTTACGCATTCAGTTGGTGCACAAAACCCTGTCACAAAGTACAGACCTTAGTCTCTGGTTTTCAAATCATGGTAATCATTACGCACACACCACTTTATAACAGAAGTGATCAACAACGATTCACTTCCACTCTACAATTTTGTAAGTCAGTGTATTTTTCTCATGTTACATGTCATATATCAAACCTTTAAACGTTTCTTTTGTATTATATTTACTTGATTTCAACAGTAATATACTTTTAAGCTACATCTTTTCTTTAATTCCCGAAAATAAAGGATTATTTGCCGGTACGCTGGATGGCTCCAGAATGCCTCATGGGCAAAGATTTCACCTCAAAATGTGACGTCTGGTCATATGGTATATTATTATGGGAGCTGTTTAGCTTAGGAAATACACCATATCCTGGAATCAATACTGACGAGTTAATCGAATGGTTGGACAATGGAAATCGTAATTCTCGACCATATTTATCCACCGAGTCAATATACCAGTTAATGATTGATTGTTGGTCACACGATACTGCTTGTCGACCAGCATTTTTTGAGATACGCAATCGAATTTCACGTATAATGTTAGAATATGCTGATCTTCACTTGGATGAATCTAAAAAGGTGAGTTTAAGTGAAAGTATAACAGCCTGTTATGATATTAAAACTGTAACCAATATATACTGATCAGCCCTATACAGTTCTTGTGATCGCTTCATAACTAAACTTTCAAATATTAACTGCAGTTGGCCTGGTTCCCTAGTTCATTATTAATCCTAGCCGGGTCGTGGGTGCGTACTGCTGAGGAGTCCCATACTAGGACGAAACAGCTGTCCAGTGCTCCCAGATTTTCAATGGTTCCCCAACTGATGTCAGTCCATGATGAATACTACTTCTAAATTAAAAATCCCCATTCATCTCAAAAATACACGATAGTCACAGAATCAGTTAGAAATGCTTCCAAAAGCCGTGGTCTACTAAATAGTTCAATTGATGGTCTATCAACCGTATACTAGCTGCTGCCACAACTCTATTCAGCGCAGGACCTTTTGGTTTTTTCTGGTGTATAATTTAGCTACTTATGAATAGTGTAAATCTGATCGAATGTTTTGTTGATAACCATTTCAGTTCTAGGTTGTAATTCATCTCTAGCTGCATGTATTATTATTATTATTAGCGCATAGAGCTTGAATTACTTATGCATACCTTTTCAGCAGAGTTACATTTTCCTTTGACAAATGCCTAACCAATATTCCTACCAGTATATTTAAAAAAGGTAACTGCGCAACAGTATCATGAAATTAACCCTAATAACAGCATGAAAGATGATAAGCTATCTTGATTAGTCACTGGAGAGCAACCAAACTGTATACTATCTAGTCCTGACTGCTGACCGAATAAATTCGGTCATTTTACACTGTGGCCACCAACTTAGGAGGCTTACCATTGGAGTGCACTTTTGATGGATGTCAGTTGGTTGGATGTAATCGGCAGGAACTAACTGGATGAATATTATGCAAATGAAACTAACTTTAAAGAAAAATTAGATTGCCAATAAAATACTCGGTGGCAAACTGTAAGGAATAACTAGCTTATTCATGTGTACTACGCATACTGTTTAACTTGTGTCGATTGATCATGAGGTGTGTATTTCTGCTGTCTTCTCATGGTACTATCTTCAAATGGAAGGACGGTGAAGATTTAGACTATGTGATTCGGTCCAGTCAAAAATGGCAGAAATTTAAAAATCGTAGACATAAAAACTATACTATACCCCGTTACACAAGCGGTGGCTGTTTTAACTCCATGGCCCACTGGATAACGCTCTGGCTTTTGAAACGACTGGTCTGACGTTCGAGTCTCGATGGGATCAACAATATTCACTAGGGGGGCAGGTCCATCCAGCTGACAAGTCCTAAGTAAGATGAAAAGAGCAGTCTGGGCTCCACTATAAGTACCAAGAATACCTAATTTAATCTATATGACTGAAATTGTGTCTATCTGTTATCAAGTTCTGAGTAAACACGAGTGTTTTGGTATTGCAACCAAGGTGAATAACATTATAGAGGCTTTTTGCGCATATTCTTATCTATAAGCTAAACCGATATTTTTGAGCGGTTAGCATCAGATCTAAGGTGGAACTCTCGTTCTTTCTTTTTAACTTGTCAGTGTTATAATGGATCGAAGAAGTGAGTCATAGACAAGTGTATGCTAAAAGGCATTTTACCTAAGTGTTTCTGATAGCTCAATGGAAAACCTTTATATGGGGTCTTCATTCAATTTTATACAATTCGCGGTTGCGAAATAATTGTATGTTAAGTGGAATCAGTTATCGCGCAATGTCCCAATTTCTGTGTTTGAAATTAGGCCATTTCATTTTTATGACTTATGGTGCGTTGTGGTCATCTAATTCAATTGTATTGTACGTATGGCTAAGTTACCAAGTTGGCCTACATTGGAAGCTATCCTTCTTTGTCGAACTTTAAGGGTTGCAAATTATACCTCGTTTTGGTCTTCAGTCCAATGATTGACTCATGGGCTTGAATAAAGCTCAGAGAGGTTCAATGGTATTCAGATAATGGGTGAACTTTAAAGATGCTACCCTAGTAACGGCTGAACTAACCAATTAGTTTTCGTTATTTCGGTTAGGAAGGTCGTTTTTTCAAAAATGCATGACCCTCAGTTGACTATATAATTCGTTACCAGAATGGGCTTTACAGTCGCTTCAGACAGCAAAGTGCACAGAAGGTCTTAATCATATGATGGCGTTAAGTAATGCATTTTGCAGTTATCAGTCCAGTCATGTGACACAAAGACATATCAGTTCATTAGTTGTCAATACCAGGGCACTCCATGAAATATCATTGCAATCATATCAGGGTTTGATCAGAATAAGAATCCAGGACTCAACTCTGGATGATCTTCGGTTGCTGACTAAGTCAAATTTAATGTCACAGGTTAATTGAATACGGTTCGTGCACACTCTTCATTAGAATCTAGCCAAATTACGGGGCTGCTTTAGCATGTTTGTTGTGGAGAAAATAGATAGATACGGTGTGTCACTACCCCCGTGCTATGTGCAGTTCTAGCACTGAAAGCAATCAACCAACTGTTCTCATTCTCATCCCCTTTTCTCAGCTGATTTCAACTGTTGACACAGAGAAACTTTAAACTGATATCAAAATCGGTTAATTCAATAAACATGAAACTCAGTAATTACTTTTTTTGCTCTTTTTTGTCACTTTTCTAACCCATAGGGATATATTCAGATCATTTTAAATGAAGGTTACCTAGTTCCTCGTCAGAGTTTACACTAGAACTAATTCTCTGGAACAGTTTGATTTGTGTAAACCAATTATGTGTTGTGTATATTTTAAGAACAAAAAAAAACAACTGACTATCGAATGCAGCAATTGTAAAATAAATGGAAGGCTGTTTATCATATCTAACATCAGATAGCTAATCGTGGTAAAGAAGCACAGAAGTCGAACAATGAACAGATCATCCACACCACCAGTGTAACTATTACAGAGACCAAAATATGTATTTACCTTTGTGTATATTTTCTATTGTTATTAATATCATTACTATTATTATTACTACTACCACTATTATTACTATTATTATTATGCTGTTTTTAAGGCAGATGTATCATATTTTACACATTTTTATTATTTTGATATCCTTTACACGTTTTTGCCTTTAAATAGATTATTATTATTGTCATTATTATTATTATTATTGTTATTATTATTGTTATTATTACTGCGTACTCATGTGTAAACATTGATAAGATTTTCTTACTTCGTGTACAGTCACTATTTTTTACTATTGTCATTATTAGTTGTTGATTACTATAACTACTATCGCCACTATCATCATTGTTATTATTACTAGTAGTAGTAGTAGTAGTAATTTCTTGTTCCTATCAAGTAAAATAATAAACACATTACATATATTAGCGTAAATATTTGCCGTTCTGTTATGCGGAGGCTTTGTGATCATAAATTTAATGTCAGTCGCTAGGTGTGTTGTTTTCTCCCACGTAGTACATTCTGTTGACAGTTTAGTTGTTTGAAAGTTTGCCGGGATGACACATCACGGATAATTTGTAGTTGAAGTAATTGATATTTTTAATGCTTACGTCAACACTAACATAGTGTTGTATATTTACCTCAGAAGTTATTGCTCCTTATTATCAGAATGGTTGCGTTACATCCCGCTGTGTATACAAATTTACATGTGTGTATGGTGACACATACATTGGGAGGAGTAGTCGAACTATGAAGTCAAAGGTGGTGGAGCATCTCCCTAAATGGTCAGAAAAACAATTACATTCAAATAATCCAATAAATACAGGAGGCAGATAGGTGTCATCTTTGATAGGTAAACACATTATACAAACAGGTCACAGGATTGACCCCAAAACAGTCTTTAGACCATTGTATAGGAGCTGTCAAGAGCATATACTTTTACGTTCGTTGAAGCTTTAAATACACGAAAGTTCAGATCCACTTTGTGTGTACAAAAAGTTTGTCCCTACCTCGAACCTACCTTGGAAATCTTTATCTCATTTTATAGCGTCATAGTGTAGTGGTCGCTGTTGAGATGGCAGCAGAAATCATAGAGGATTGCCAGCAATGACTAGAGATTCTGCCCAGAGGAATGCAAGAGACAATGTAGATGTATTAAGAGTTAAATCAAGATAGAAGCAGAAGCGGAAATGAAGCACATTTTGCAAATGACTGTTTTAGTGAAACGTGTACAATATTTGATGACTACTACAAGATGTCAATAATAAACATTCCTTCCTGCGTTTCCGTATGTCCTTCCCTACAATTATTTATCTTTGGTGACTCCACCGGAGCTACTGCTGTACCCATTAGCTGTCTGGTCACCTTGGTCAGCTCACTAATAACCATGGTTTAGGATGCGTTCACCAGTCGTGACTGCTAGGCGATGGCAATTGGGACACTTTTGGTGAACTGTGAAGCCAGCAACTGCTTCTGATAGTCCTCATCCAAAGTGGGAAGTGCTCGTCGAGGTAGGTTAGTCAACTTCACAGCCGATCTTCGTTTATTCCAAGTTTCTCTCTCCACAACTGCTACATCGCCAGCTCCCTGTCCACTGAGCTGTCAAACTACCTCCAGGTGTTCAACCATTCTCAAGTTCCTTTCCCATCCCCACGTTCCACACCGTCATATGCAGATTTCGCTGCATGAAACATGAAACTGTTTCAATTGGGAAGACAAGACGAGTCATCAAAAATCCCTGGACATTGAGTTCAACTATTCAACTCAAGCAGTAATTTCAAAAGACCATGTGTCATTGACGATGATCGACTCTAAGGGTCATCTTAGCAACTACTGGGGATAATAATAATCGTTTTATTCCGAACAATATGTATAACAGTATGAAGTTTTCAGTATGTAATTTCCTTACAAGTTCATTCCCAGAACAATACTTCCAGACGAAACGGTTATTGCATCGGAATGATGTTAATAATAACAGTATTCAAGGCAATAATGTGGAAAAGCCAGCTGGTTCTGGATATGCATCCGGTCCATAATGAAGATTCAGCAGAAATCCAAACGTAATTTTTGTCATGGTAATTCATTCAGGTGGTACAAAAATCTGTAACTCAAGCTAAGTATCTGACGGACAGAAATACAATATACTTTTTTTCCACCGAAAAGTCCATTTTCATATGACTTAACATTTCCCCTCTACTTTGTTATTGACTTGAGAAACGCAGAGTTGAAAACAGTTTAAAAATGTGCCAGAGTACATGATACGTTCAAAGGACATATTTAAATGATTAAAACAAGTTGAAAGAAAATAATTTGATGAAAAACGTCCAATGGATAAATTTGGTAGCCCAAGTTCAAACAGGCCGCCACACACATGAAGCAACACTAACTGAATGAAACATAATTGGCTATCTCAGTAGTTCTTTAGATAGCTTTGAAGTCACTCTTGATGACTACACATCTGTTTTCTGAATGTGACAGGAAATGTCTACTGGTAAGAAAGTGACTTTTCGTGTTAACATCAAAGGTAACAGTCCTGCCTACAGGTTAGTAAATAACAATAACGGATTATGAAAATGATCAATTTTAACTTCTACTTAAAATTTATTGAACAGGCCAAACAATCGTACTTCCATGGACAAATATCAGTTCATAATACTTGAATATTCTTTCTAACTCTGTGAACTCTGTGCCTACAGCAGCATATTTTACGACTTGCTGTCTGTCATGAGGATTTATATAAGCGACCTCCAGGTTTCTACTTATGCATATATACATGATTCCTATCCTTTGAGACTATTTATCGGATTAGATAGGAAATGCAGGTTGACGTTCAAAACTGTCCTAGTTCCTTGAGAAATGGTTCATTTTATGTTTACGTTTAAGTTATCTTCCCATGGTAAGTAGTAATACATCATAATCTAGATCTTCGACAATCATGTGACATAAGCACATGACAGCGTAGAGTCTAGCGAGACTTGACTTCCTTTGTAACCCTATGTTGCTCATTTCTAAGATGGGACAACTATTCAGATGTATGATGGGGTGATTTTTAGTGTTTATGGGGCAAGTATACTTGTTTTTTGAAGCAACCAGCTTGGAGTACATAACTCAAAAATCCCCTAGATGTGCAAAAAATGACTGACTCAAGGCGTAGTATTTATTCACTTCTATTGAAGTTTATTACAGTGATAGATAGTGCTATCACGGAAGTAATGTTGGTAGTCGTCTTAAAAGTCAGACAATAGCAAAGTTACTGTGTAAAGTTCCAAGTTGCCACATCTCATATAATTACGCCAAGCGACAAAGCATAACGACGAAAAGTAAAGAAATTGACAAGAAAGCAGTCAAAAGTGATAGAAAGTAGTGATAGGATAACAAGGAGAGACAAGAAAATACTGGATTTAGCAAGACGATTAGGATGATAATGTATGGCTACATATGACTCAGTGAGATCGACTCTGAGCCATGTCACGTAGTCTCCAACCCCTGGTCTCTGTGGTTACCCAAACCCTAGCCAAGAAGTTTGCATCTCCCTATACAGCTCAGATCAACAGTCAAAAATTTCATGCAATAGTACCGTATTTTACTCTGGCCGCCGCTGACCTTTTTTCATCTTAAACCTGAATTAACTAACATTTTTTAAGGGTCAGCTCAGCAATGACTGAAATAACCGCTAAGGTTTCTTTATTTTGACGGAGGATAGTCTTTCTAATAAAATAATAAACCTGGTTGGTTATTTTTTACCAGGTATCAGAGTTGGGGTGGATAACCAATCACGTTCCGTTCTATAAAAGCTACCTTTTAGGACAAAATTCTGACATTTGATTGGTTAATTTGGCAGTTGCTAGGGTGGCCTTTAAAATCACTCCGGAGTTGGCTTTAGAATTTCTCAAATACGTCACCAAGGTAGGTCGATCACAGGGTCATTCATACGAGTGACTTTGAAGGTCACCCAAGCAATTGCCGAAGTAACCAATCAAGTTTCAGTGTTTAGGCTGGTAAGGTAGTTTTTTATAGAATAGAGAAGTGTAACTGGTTTATCTCTACAGTCCTTAGGAAGGGGCAAGGTGACCTTTAAAGTCACTCATATGACTCTCTTTTGTGTCTTTAAGTGGGAAGTCATATTACTTATTTTGAAATGTAGCTAACTTTTGAGGTTGAAAAAAATGTAAATGGATGATAGGTCAGGGCACCTGACTGACCTGTGAAGACCAAATCACAGTGGTGAGTCACTAAGGTATCATATTTCTTGACAAACAAAACAATGGAGAAGTCAACAGCTATTAAAATGACTAACTTGTATTTTGTATTTTACAACAAGACTGACTTTCCAGTCAAAATAAAAAAAAAGGGTTTTTTGGAAGGTGGTTTTTGTAGTTACTCTGTGAGGTTAAAAAGAGGGATTTAGGAGCAACAGTCGCGAACAAATAATTATAGAAGTATAACATTAAAAAGCGAGAAAAGAACGTCTGGATTTGTTTGATTGGGAAAAATTTATTACTCTACTCAACCCCTCATCAGCACTCATTCTAATCATTGCAACCTGAAGGCTTAAGTTTTGTCACACTTGGTTATAACAACAGACAATAGGATGCTTTGAATTGTCCCGCTTGTATTAGTGTTTCTGCCATCTTGAAATACACGATAGATATTCGGGGTATTTCAGTCAACATAAATTCAAAACCAGTTGGAGCTTCTTACCTCACTCGACACTTTACTGATAACATGTGAATTACTTCTATCGCGTACTCATGTCACATTCTAGGTATATGACAAAATTTCTGGCGGTTGAATAGAAAAACCCGGCCACGATCCAAATTTTCATCTCACCTTCAATCATCATCCAGTATAAATACTAGTCTACCAAACTACGGCTATCTTAGATAGTCAAAATGATAATCAGTATGATGCTCCCCGTCCTCTCGAATTCAGTTACATTTGGATTGAGATGAGAAGTCTTGACTAGGCAGTCAGTGTGAATACGATAAAGCGGTGGTAACGCATCACGACGAATTCACATGATAGTAGGGCAAATCCACCTTGGTGATTGAAGTGAAATAAAAATGTAGTCAGCAATCGGACCTCGTAACTCAGTTGATAGAGCATGGGGCCTGGAAACCTGCTGGAGGCTGGCTGGAATCCGGTAGCGGGCCAAATTTCCATTTCATCTTCAGTCATCACGCAGTATAAAAATAGAAAAAGCTAACTTTTAAAGACACACTAGGTGTACTGTCCAAAATTGTTTCATGTATCCAAACCCTCTTAGTCAAGTTAGTCTTTTATCAATCCCACAGGTGGCATGATGTAAGGAATGACCTCTTATCGTTCTACAGTTTGCTTGAGAATCCATTAGCGTATATTGAGGTTTTCAGATAAGACTTTCTACGTACAATGAAAGATAAACTTGTTAACATGATTTTTAATCTTTACTTGAC